GCCAGGCTTCTGGTGAGCAGTCAAGTGCCTTAGGCACTATGCTACCAGAGCTCCCACTTGAACCAATATATGTGCATATATCTCCTTTTCACTCATTCTTAGTAAGAAATAAACCAACCAGTAATAAATGCTCCCTATTTTCCTTCCCCTTAAAAACAGTAATGATAACAATAAGACAGATTGGTGAGAGAACAATAAGAAGTAGGTTCTGCTTTGATGGAATTGGGAAGGAGGACATAAAAGCATATTTCCACCATAGTTACAGAAGGATGACTGTTCTATCTAAGACCCTACCCACCTAGTTCTCCCTAAAAAAACAGTGTACCTGACCAGGAGGAGCTGTCACATCTTTATATTCATGCAAAACCAAACTCATCCAGAGGGGAAGTGTGACTAGATGTTCTGAGGCTTCTGGCCCAGAAATGGATGGATGGTGGGAGATAGTGGAGGGATGCTGAGTGACCAGTACATTTTTTTTTTTTTTTTTTACGTTTCTGATTAACCCAATGTTAAAAACCAGCAATAACAAAACAGCTGCTGTTGAGCCAATTCTAACTTACGTCAATCCCATGAGTGTCAGAATAGAACTGTGTGCTTTATAGAATTTTCCGTGGCTGATGTTTTAGAAGTAAATCACCAGGCCTTTCTTCTGAGGCACCTGTGAACCACCAAGCTCTCCGTGAGCAGCCAAATACATTAACCACTTGCACCAACCAGAGGCTCCTTGCCCACTGTTATGCAACAACGTAACACACTGACGTGGAGTCGGACCCAACTTCTAGCAACCCCTCCTTAGGTTTCTGAGGCAGTATCACTATGGAAGTAGATTGCCCAACCTTCCAACGAGTGGCTGGTGGGTTTGAACCTCCAGCCTTTTGGTTAGCAGTCAAATGCCTTAGGCACTATGCCACCATTGGGTGGGTCTATTAGAATTGAAAGAATTCTAATAGATAATCAATCTAATAGATAATCAACTTATAAATTTGACATAATGCTATTTATCCGTGTTAGATAAATATGCAATAAATGACTTGTATCCTATCCTCCACTTACCATCCTTGACTCTCATACCTCTCTCCCAAACAAATGACAAAGCAATGTCAGAAAATCCCTACTGGTTTCTAGAACTTAACCAGCAGCTAACCCCACACATTTCAAGCTCCACTCAAATAAAATTTGAATGAATCTGACTCACCTATCTTACTATCTAATCATAAAAAATACATTTCTAAAAATTTCATTCTAAATTTATTTCTTCTGTATAGAGATAAAAAGGAGCTCTGGGGTGCGATGGTTAAAGGATTCAGTTACTAACTAAAAGGTCAGTGGTTTCAATCCACAAGCTGCTCTGCAGGAGAAAGATGAGGCAGTCTACTTCTGTAAAGATTGACAGTTTTGGAAACCTGTGGAACTGTTCTACTCGGTCCTAAAGTGTCTCTATGAGTTCAGAATTGACTCAATGGCAGTGGGTTTTAGTTTTGGGTATATATATATATATATACATATATATATCAGACTAGGTTTTGAATAATTCTGATAATGGTAAGAGATACTGTGATTTTAAAATTCATTTCTATGTTTTAGCATTTTATCAATTCTTTTTTCTTTTGCAGGAAGCTTATCACAGCATTTTCCTCAAGGACTGGAAGACAAAAGAATTGAAACATTTCTAGGATTCTTTATTCACCTGCTGTTTCTTTGTTATCTCATTGGACATGATTTTAGCAGAGTCTAAGATTTTAATTGCACTTTCATCTTCTAAAATGTTGCCTTCTGAAGATGATAATGTTTCTAAAATTCTTTTCTCTATATCTTTTAGTTGTTTCTTATTAGCTGCAGACTGAAGAATAAGAGCATTTCGTTCCTCTTCTAGTTCTGGTCTAAAAAGATAGAAATATTTAATATAAGTTTGTAGTACTTTATCTAAATTTATATGTAAGTGTTATGTATCACAATTTTATAGATATTTAAGCAATTTTTCAGACATCGTAACACAAACTAAGGTTATGTCTCTTTATCTTAATCCAAGAAAATGAAAATCACTTCTATACAAATAATAATCTGAGAAATTTAAGCAAAAAGAAAAAAAATGTATTAATTGCATACATGTTAAATGTGGCAATAGCTTATACAAAATAAGTTTAAGAAAACATTGGGTTTATCCATCTGGAAGCCACTTATGTGAGAATAAGAACTGGAGAAGAGACTGAAAGCAGGCAATGTCTTATTTATTCCTTGGCTTTGTCATCAGTTAATTTTAATCATCTACAATAGCAGAGATAGAAAGGATATACAACTGGTTTATCAGATGATAGACAAAATTGGCACTTATGTCTTAATAAAGATGGTGTAAAATATCTAAGTAACACTGTCCGTAATGTTATACAGTATGTTATGTCATGTGACATGTGTACAACTAATTTTAATTTGGTCTTTGTTGCAGAAGGTACTCTCTAAACTCTTGGAATTTCCATAAAAATTAGTAATTATGTCACTCATTAACTCTTTTATTTCTACAGCAGAAGCATGTATTCAACATGTGGTTTCTTCATGCTTTGGTGGTGGGAAAATTCCAAAATCCTTATTTCTCTTTTAGAGACTGATTCAGTAGGATGTGTGTGTGAGAGAGAGACAGATGTATTTATTACAGTGTTGAAAGAGAAATAGTCGATTATGTGGACGTGTATTAGGTACAGCCAAGCTGGATGTTTCCATTTGGTAAGGAAGGTACACATGCATGTTTACATTTATGTAAAATATTTGCAGTGAAAAAGAGGAAGATCCTCTACAACATGGATTGACACAGCGGCTGCAATGATGAGCTCGAGCTTAACAAAGATTGTGAGGATGGTGCATGACCAGGCAGTGTTTCGTTCTGTTGTACTATGAGTCAAACCTGACTTGACAACACCTAACAGCAATAACAATAATGGAAAAAATACATAAAATATGAAGAAAATAATGAAATTGCCTATAAACTTACCTCCCTAGGCTTGGTCACTGTTAACATTCTGATGTATTGTTTCCAATCTTTATGTGTGTATGTGTGTGTGTGTGTGTGTGTATACACACACAAATGTTTATATTTGTTATCCATCCATTAGTATATATATATATATATATATATATATATATATATATATATATATATATATATATATATATATGTATAATTGTTTTTTAAATGGAAAACATTTATTTATTTATTCATTTTTTATTTTTGCAGTGTTCTCTCCCATCCCTTCCCACCCCTGGTAACCAACAAAGTTAGTTTTCTTCCATATATAAACCTTTCCTTGACTTTTTACAATAACGAACTAATACTATGTTTGTCCTTCTTTGATTGACTTATTTCACTCAGCATAATGTCCTCCAAGTTCATCCACGTTATGAGGTGTTTTGCAGATTCTATGTTATTCTTTAGGGTTGCATAGTATTCCATTGTGTGTAAGTACCATAGCTTGGTTATCCATTCTTCTGTTGATGGGCACCTAAGTTGTTTCCATCTTTTTGCTAATGTAAACAGTGCTGTGATGAACATGGATATGCATATATCTGTTCTAATCCTGGCTCTCACTTCTTAGGATATATACCTAGTAATGAAATTGCTGCATCAAATCATATTTCTAATTCTAACTTTTTAAGGAATCACTATACTGCTTTCCACAGTGGTTGTATCATTTAACAGTCCCACCAGCAGTGTATGAGAGTCCAAATCTCTCCACATCATTGCCAGCATTTATTTTCTGTCTTGTTGAACTTTGTTACGAGTGCTGGGGTGAGATGGTATCTCGTTGTTTTGATTTGCATTTCGCTATTGGCTAATGATCATCAACACGTCTTCATTTGTTGGCCGCCTGAACATCCTCTTCAGTGAAGTGTCTAGTTATGTCTTCTGCTCATTTTTAAATTGTATTGTTTGTCTTTTTGTTGTTGAGGTGTTGGCGTTTTCTATAAATTTTAGAGGTAAGTCCCTTGTCAGGTATATCATTGCTGAGTATTTTTTTCCCAAACTGTAGGTTCTCATCTTACTCTTTTGGGGAAATCTTTTGAAGGACATAAAAAATTTAATTTTTAGAAGGTTCCAGTCATCTAGTTTATCTTCTGCTGTTTGTGCATTTTGAGTTATGCTTCACAGCTGTTTATGCCATGAATTGTTGTTGTTGTTATGCACCACTGAGTTGGACCTGACTCATAGTGATCCCTCCTTGGGTTTCCAAGGCAGTATTACTATGGAAGTAGATTGCCCAACCTTCCTTCCGAGGAGTGACTGGTGGGTTTGAACCTGCAGGCTTTTGGTTAGCAGTCAAGTGCCTTAGGCACTATGCTACCAGAGCTCCTAGGGCCCCTAAATTTGCCCCTATTTTTTCCTCGAGGAACTTTAGAGTTGTAGGTTTCACAGTTAAGTCTTTGACCCATTTGGAGTTAGTTTTTATGTATGGTGCAAGGTATGGATCTTGTTTCATTTTTTCTGCAAGTGGATATCCAGTTTTGCCAGCACCATTTGTTAAAGAGACCATCTTTTCCCCCATATAATGGATTTCAGCCCTTTGTCAAAAATCAGCTGACCATTGGTCGATGGATCTATTTCTGGGTTCTCAATTCTGTTGCACTGGTCTATGTAATTGTACCAATACCAGGTGTTTTGACTACTACTGTGGCTGTATAGTAGGGTTTTGAGATTGAGGAGTGTGAGACCTACTTTGTTGCTGTTCTTCAATAAGGCTTTGCTTATCCAAGGTCTCTTTCCTTTCCGTATAAAATTAGTGATTGCTTTTTCCATATCCTTAAAGAATGTTGATGGGATCTGGATTGGGATTGCATTAAATGTATAGATTGCTTTGGGTAAAACTGACATTTTTACAATGTTCAATCTTCCTATCTATGAGCATGGTATGTTCTGCCATTTATGTAGATCTCTTATAGTTTCTTGAAGTAGTGTTTTGTAGATTTCTTTGTACAGGCCTTTTGTGTCCTTAGTCAGATTTATTCCCAAGTATTTAATTTTTTGGTAGCTATTGTAAATGGTATTTATTTCCTTTTCAGCAATCTCTTTGCTGGTGTACAGGAATTCAACTGATTTTTGGATGATGACCTTTTATCTTGCCACTATGCTAAATCTCTCAATTAGTTCCAGTAGTTTTTTTGCTGAGTCTCTTGGGTTTTCTATGTATAGGATTACATCATCAGCAGACAGGGATAGTTTTACTTCGTCCTTACCAATTTGGATGCCTTTGATTTCCCTTTCATACCTTACTGCTCTGGCTAGGACTTCCAATACAATGTTGAATAGAAGTGGTGATAGAGTGCATCCTTGTCTGGTTCCTGTTCACAAGGGTAATGGTTTCAGTCTCTCTCCACTGACAATAATGTTGGCTGTTGATTTTGCATATAGACCCTTTATTACGTTGAGGAATTTCCCTTCTATTCATAATGGGCTGAGTGTTTTTATCAGGAATGGGTGTTGGATTTCATCAAATGTCTTTTCTGCATCAATTGATATGATCATGTGGTTCTTTCCTTGTTTTATTTATGTGATGGATGAATTGATTGTTTTTCTAATGTTGAACCATCCTTGCATACCTGGTCTGAACTCCACTTCCAAAAACCAGACTCACTGCCATCAAATCGGATCCAACTCATAGCAAACCCTCCTTGGTTTTCCAAGGTGGTACTGCTATGGAAGTAGATTGCCCAACCTTCCTTCCGAGAAGTAGCTGGTGGGTTTGAACCACCACCTTTCTGGTTAGTAGTCATAGGGCTTAGTCACTATACTACCAGAGCTCCCATGAACCCCACTTAGTCATAATGTATTATTTTTCTAGTATGTTCAAATTTGGGTTCTATTGGCTAGGATTTTGTTGAAGATTTCCATCCATTAATATTTTTAATAATCATGTTCTCATTTCATTTATATTCTATATATAAGTCTTAGAATGCATTTCTAATTATGTCCATAGCATTAATTCCTAGAAGTGAAGTTTCTAGCTCAAACACTCACATACAAGTCAGAGTCATGGCATATACCTTGAATCACACTGCCCAGACTAAAATCAATATAACATGGTTGGCTTATAAGTTAATTTTACAGAGTTATTATACTGAAGGATTCTGTAATTATTTAACATAATGAAATAAAAATTTGACACAGTGTAGACATATTCACATAACAAAAGCATTAAAAGCTTACAAATATTCATCTCTAGACCATCTAGATGCATCTAGGAAAATACATACCTCTCCTTTGCAACAACAATACCTAGTAATTGATCTTCAAGTCCTTCTGGAGTTATCATGAAATTGAGCAGAGACACTTTTGTAGCCAGCTCTGGCATATAGTGTGGATTTCTCAGTTTTGTGGTGATATAAAATTTGAAATCAAAGGAATACTCAATAATGACTTCACCAAGTCTGATGCAATCAATGCCACCTATATTTCAGAAAACAGAAGTACAATGAATAAGATAAAGTTACATAGTACCTCTGCTTATGTACTTCTAAGGACTTGCTTAGCTTAAAAGAAAGGGTACTAAAGTAATTTGAAATAGAAAACAGATGTGACAAGTGTCACAAACTGTGCAGCAAGTGTACAATTACACACTGGACTCATTCAGAGGTAGTAGAGGACTTTTTCTCTGGTTATCATGGAGCCTTCTAAGTCAAGATTTGTTTTTGACTTTCCTTCCTGCATCAATTTTCAATCATGACTCCAAAATTATTTGTGTAAGATTAAAGCTATTACAGGTTGTAGAGTTTAGCAAAGCTAATTTTTTTTTTTGTTTATTTGTTTTATAAGAAGGATATCCAAACCATCTAAAGTCAACTCTGGCCCACATACACCATAACTATTCATAATAATGGGCTTTGTATGGTCCTTGGTCACAAGATAAAGGAATTTCATGCTGGCTTCAATTTCTTCATGTTCTCTATAAAAGAGCAGGAGTCCCTGGGCGGTGCAAATGGTTAACACACGTGGCTACTAACTGATATGTTGGTGGTTCAAGTCTACACAGAGGCACAGGGGAAGAAAGGTCTGGAAATCTACTTCCAAAGAATCAGCCACTGAAAGCCCTATGGAGCACAGTTGTACTGTGACTCCCATGGGGTTGCCATGAGCCTAAGTTTCACTTGTTTCTCTATGAGTTGAAATCAGTTCAACAGCACACAATGACAACATAGAGTAACAGTCTAGATAATAGTGATTAAAGCAGTGAAGACAGGGCAAGAATACCTGAACAATGTTCATTCCTGACAGATTGCTCCAAAGTTTCTTTTACCCATAACAGTAACACACAGAAGTTCTGAGTTATTAACATTATTATTAGATTTATGTAGTGGTTTTCTTCATGCCTCAAAGATAATCTAATCATTTTTAGTTCTACCAACTAATATTAATTATATTCTACCTTGTTTAAAAGTTTGTCTGAGTAGTAAAGGCTCCAAAGATGGATCCAGTTCTTCGCCAACATTTTCTAATAGAAGTGGAGTTCCAAACTGAATACAATTTTCCAGTGTTCTCATATAGTCTGAATCTGATAGTTTAATAACACTAAGCTGATTTTCTTTTTCAGAATTTTTGATCCACTTATTGGCTTGGCCCTGCGGGTCAATCATTAAAGGCCTAAAATATAATAAGAAAAAATCTGAGGAGAATAAATAAATGTTTGGATTCCTTAATAATTTTTTAATTTAAATAATGCTACAATCAATCTGTATAATTACAGTGTTTCACATGCATTATCAAGATTAATCTTCACAAAAATTAGTGAAAAGGAGTTATATTTCCATATATTTTCAAGTAAAGAAATTCATTCTGATTATTCATTTTGGTTATCTAGTGCTACTGTAACAGACATACCACAAATGTATGGCTTTAACAAACAGGGATTTATTCTCTTACAGCTTAGGAGGCTAGAAGTCCAAGTTCAAAGTGCCAGTTCTAGGGGCTGGGTAAAATAACTCCTTGATCTTGGGCTTTAGCTCTGCCTCTTGCTCCCAGCCAACTTAAGCTGAGGCTTCTCTCTCTCTTTTTTTTTTCCTTCAAAGAAATTGAAACACAAGATCGACTCCGAGCAGTTATTCTATATAGAAACAGGGAGCCATTAGTTTTTTCTGGAATCAAAATAGTCTCCCTATATGCATATAAAGTAACTGCTCAGAACAAACCCCACGTTTCAATTTCTTTGAGTTTTGATTATCATTATTATTTTATTATTATTATTATTGTGTGGAGTTCTCTTAACTCAGACAGCTGCTGGCTGCTGAGGCTGATAAATCCAAGGTCAACAAAATGGAATAGTTTCAAAATTGTCAAGCAACACAGCAGGCCACTAGTTCAAGTTCAGAAACAGTCTCAAGATTGGCAGACAACATGACAGCCCACAAAGATGAAGACTTGGCCAAATGCAGGATCCAGATGTGTCAAAAAGCTAGAGATCTTTCTCAAAGCTGCTTTGCATATATTGGAAGCAGACCATATCTCTGCTCACAGTAGATTCCACCATGGAGCTGATTACCGGTCTCATCATGGGAAATAACTACATCCAGCTGCCCAGCCACTGAAAACCAGACCCAGCCAACCTGACACATAACCTTAACTACCAGTTATAAAACTATTTCAATGCCAGAAGAAGTAGGCTCTTATGAACCAGTGAGTTGTGCTCTTTCTAATATAGTAAACTGCCTTCATGATAATTTTAATACATATCTGCTAATATATGAAAACTCTATTGCAAAATTATTTGATAAAAATTGAAAACAAATGATCCACTAGCCTATAGAGAATTTTCCTCAAGTAATGAGTAGAACCACAAACTGAGTGTCCAAGTTTAGTCTGAAGATCTATTCATACATTTCAGAGTCTTTCCTATGTAAGTATGGTAAAGACTTTGTGTTTAAGAACACATGGTTCATGGTATCAATATGATGTGCTCTTTCCTTCCTCAATGGTGATGCTGAGTGTCCTAGGTTTCTTTGATATTCAACAAAGTACCTTAAATTATCTATTAAAACATACAATATTTGAAGATCGGTGAAACAGCAAGCAATTTGTTATTATGTGTTTACCACAATAACAACAAAGGACACAGAAAAGGGAGTCCTGACCCACGTCACTTCAGTGATCCTTTCGGTGCCAATAGCTTCTACAGCTAAAATCTCTTTCCCTTTACCTAAAAATAAGCTCTTGAATCAACTATTCCTAGAAAGGTATATTATTTTATTTTCTTTCTTTCTCAAAAGACAAAAAAGTACACCACTACTTGACTGGTTGTTTTCATCTCCACCTCAAATTGTGCTGAAAGCCTATTGAGAGCACAAAAAAGGTCCAAACACTAGTTAAAATTAACTTTTGCTACCACAGCAAGCAGAACTAATGTGTTTTGCAAATGAGAAAGGGATTTTGCATACTCAAACCAAAAAACTAACCAAAATCACTGCCGTCGAGTCAGATCCGACTCATAGCGACCTCTCCTTGGGGTTCCAAGGCAGTATCACTACAGAAGTAGATTGCCCAATCTTACTTCCAAAGAGTGGCTGGTGGGTTTGAACCTCCAGCTTTCTGGTTAGCAGTCAAGTGCCTTAGGCACTATGCCACCAGAACTTCTTATATCTTTCTTCCTTCCAAAAACTAAACCCATTGCCATTGAGTCGATTCTGACTAATAGCAACCCTTTAGGACACAGTAGAATTGCCTCATAGGATTTCCAAAGTGGTAAATCTTTATGGAAGCACACTGCCTTATCTTTCTCCTATGGAGGGGCTGGTGGGTTCGAACTGCAGACCTTTTGGTTAGCAGCCAAATGTGTCAACCACTGCACCACCAGAGCTCCTTTTTGTTTCCTTAGACATTCGTATTATTGGAAAAAAATACAGCATTTGTTCATTCACCTACAAAAAGTGACAATACTTAGAAATTTACATTCTTTAATGCATAAATAATGGTTCTTGGTAATGCAATAATTAGACATTTTTATGTAGTAAAAGATATCTGACTTTTGCTTAATATAGTCTTATGTAAGACTCAAAATCAAGATGCAATAAAATGAAAGGTTGATAAATTCGACAATATACAAATTAAAATATAAATATATATATATGACAATAATACCACAAACACATCAAAAGACAACTAACAAACCTGGAACATATCAGAGATAAAGGGCTAATCTTTCCATTAAATGAAAGTCTTAAAAACTGAGAGAATAAAGACCAAAAATTTTATAGAAAAATAAACAGGAACAGGAATTTCATGAAAATTTGAAATGAAATTTCATATGAACAGGAATTTCATAAAAAAGATAAAATTGCCTTTAACCATGAAAGTATTTTCAAAGTCATTCATAAGCAGAGAATTATAAATAAAAATTACATTTATTATTGTTGTTGTTGTTGTTAAGTGCCGTCGAATCATTTCCGACTCATAGCGACCCCATGCACAGCAGAACGAAACACTGCCCAGTCCCGCGTCAGCCCCACAATCCCTGCTATACTTGAGCCCATCATTGCATCCACTGTGTCAATCCATCTCGTTGAAGGCCTCCCCCTCTTTCGTCGACCCTCCAC